TCAGGATAGAGAACATTTTGTGCAGCACACTTTATATTCAGGTCTTGCAATCACTGGGGTCCATGTCACACTGGTGCTTTTGCCATTGGAGACACAGGGAGGTGTCATCACACCAAAATCTCAAAGGTGAAGCTTTGCTGGCAGAAGCTCAATAGCTAGCAAAGTAACAAGAGCGGAGCAACATCCCGCTGATTTGGCAGTGACACTATAGGAGAAGGTGAGTGGATAAGGTTGCTTTCAGTGACTGAACTGCTAGTGTAGCATAGGTCTAAGGCAGGGGTGCTCAACTTTTTGAAGAGCGAGGGCCACTTAAGTGATTCGTGGGCCACAATGAAATGAAATGGTTCAGAATTTCAATTTTTTTATTTTGAATAGCATAATGAACATTTTCCTCCTGCAGCTGCTGAATGCCAACAGGAGGGCAAGGAGGAGAAGCCGACCTTCAGTGGTTGCAGGAGGAAAATGGAAAGGATTGGTTCCTATATATGTCGCCCTGCTGTCCTAGTGTAAACCAGAATGTGACAGGAAGGCTGCATGGGACCCCTCTAGCCATTGCAACTCCTGACAATGAGTGGTTTGGGGGGGGGGGGTGAAAAAAACACGTCTCAACTATAGGGTTCTATTGCCCCCCAAAACCACAAATGTGATAATGCCTTAATTGTCCTGCGCCCCCACAAGGCTTTGTTCACACTGCTGTGCTGCGGTTTACCCCCACCACGGGTGCAGCACAGTGCACCTGTGGCTTTCTTGCATTCAAGAGCCATTGCAACTCCTGACAATGAGTGGTTTGGGGGGGGGGGGGGGAGTGTGAAAAAACACGTCTCAACTATAGGGTTCTATTGCCCCCCAAAACTTTAAATGTGATAATGCCCTAATTGTCCTGCGCCCCCACAAGGCTTTGTTCACACTGCTGTGCTGCGGTTTACCCCCACCACGGGTGCAGCACAGTGCACCCGTGGCTTTCTTGCATTCAAGAGTTTTAGTGCACTTTCAGAAAGTACACCAAACTGGCAGGATATAATAGAAGTCTATGGCTCAGTTCAGCTAACCCCCAGGAAATCCGCAGGTGCATTGCGCTGCATCCACGGATCAGAAAGCTGCCTTATGACCCTTTTTTTAAAAGTGCTCATATATGCCCATTGCAAAACTGATGTTTAATACATTATGTGTCCATTGCTAAACTGTGTTATTTAATAAACTGACCTTTTTGTCTTTCAGCTTCTGCTGGCATCGCTGGTTGTTTGAAAGGTTCCTGTCCTAGGCGGAGTGATACCATTTGCACTTTGCCTGGGACAGAAGCTGGCGCTACAGAGGAAGAGTCAACTCTGCAGCCGTCCCTCCGCAGCAGCTTGTTTCCTCTGGTGCCTGCTCAATTCACTCCGATGCTCTGGGATGGTGGGTTGGCAACCTGCGATCTGGGCTTGCCGACCTGCCATCCCAGAACATGAGGTCGCAGGCCACATCAGAGGGCCTAAGGGAATGGTTCGTTGCACCCCTAGACTAAGTGAATCGTTTGCTACAGAGGTAATTTTTCACTTAAAGTAGTGTTAGGACTCATTCACAGCAGATTTGTTGGGGCTATTTCTAGCACAGTCCCAACACATAGACAAGAAAAAATGCTCCATTGGTGTCAGTTCACAGTAGGTATGCTCCAGTGGTGTCAGTTCACAGCACAGGTTTGCTGTGGTGTGGACTGAAGAAATGTAATGCATGCATTACTTTTTTTTCAGTGCAATGGTGCTGCAGTGAAAAGAACTATATTGAAATGTCACTTATGCCTTTTTAATAAAGTTCTGAGATAAAAAAACAAAACAAAGTAAAAGCATGAAATGCTGGGATCACAGCACACACCAGCGGCCATACATTTAGCACACTGGTGTGAATGAGCCCTCAAACCCTCAACTGCCTCTGGTGTATACTGAGAGACACAGTGCTGATGCCCTGATCCTTTTTTTCTTTTCACACCAGAAACTGCATGTTTACTGCACATTATTGCATGCACAGTGATGTGCATTTGACTTGCATTTTTATATGCATTTGCATGAATTTGCGGTGTATTTTTCCTAAGCTTGAATAACCTTTGAGGTCATGTACATCTTCTTTTTTCTTTGGGCTTTTATGTGCAAATTACATTTTTGTGCAATTACAGTGCAGAAAAATGCAGCTTGCTATACTTATTTCACTGCAATGCAATAGTGTGAACTATGCACATGGATGTTAGACTGTCTATGCCAGGGGTCTCCAAACTTTCTAAACAACGGGCAAGTTTACTGTCTTTCAGACTATGGAGGGGCCGAGCCATGGCCAGTGGGAGTAGAAAATGTCCCAACGTTGATATTAGGGGAATTAATAGTGCCCCATTGTCAGTGTTAGTGGTAGCAGTAGTGCCCCATCAGTGGTGTCAGTAGGAGGAATAGTGTACTATCATTGGTATCAGTAGAAGGAATTGTGCCCCATCGTTGGTATCAGTGGAAGGAATAGTGCCCTATCGTTGGTATCAGTGGAAGGAATAGTGCCACGTGGTTGGTATCAGTGGAGGAATAGTGCCCCATCATTGGTATCAGTGGAAGGAATAGCGCCCCATCTTTGGTATCAGTGGAAGGAATAGTGCCCCATCGTTGGTATCAGTGGAAGGAATAGTGCCCCATCATTGGTATCAGTGGAAGGAATAGTGCCCCATCATTGGTATCAGTGGAAGGAATAGTGCCCCATCATTGGTATCAGTGGGAGGAATAGTGCCCCATCATTGGTATCAGTGGAAGGAATAGTGCCCCATCATTGGTATCAGTGGAAGGAATAGTGTCCCATCATTGGTATCAGTGGAAGGAATAGTGCCCCATCGTTGGTATCAGTGGAAGGAATAGTGCCCCATCGTTGGTATCAGTGGAAGGAATAGTGTCTTATCATTGGTATCAGTGGAAGGAATAGTGCCCCATCGTTGGTATCAGTGGAAGGAATAGTGCCCCATCGTTGGTATCAGTGGAAGGAGCAGTGCCTCATTATTGGTATCAGTGAAAGGACATGTTCTCCATCGTTAGTATCAGTGAGAGGAATAGTACCCCATAGTTGGTGTATTTGGGAGGAATAGTGCCCCTTTGTTGGTGTCAATGCAGGAATTATTGCTCCACCGTTGGTGTCATTGGGAGGAATAGTGCCCCAAGGGCCAGATAAAGGCAAGCAAAAGGCCACATTTTGCCTCTGGACCACAATTTACAGACCACTGGTCTATGCATTTGCAGTGCAGTCAGAAATGCATCCCACAGCAGCTGAATGCATTTGGTGTGAATGGACCCTTACTGTACTGTATTTATGGGAGGAGTAGTGTGGTCAATCTAGAACAGAAAGTATGTGAGAACTGTAGAACATGTTCCCCGTCTATAGCTCCATATCATAGGAGGAAGTGTTCTGTAATTTACAGGTGAACTCAGGCAGGGTTGATAGCAATGTTTGAGATTTCAGTACAGCATTATCAGCTAATTACAGCAAGTTAGATGCTTTTGGGATATCTAGCAGGATAAAAAGGTATTTTTTTGCACAAATCGAACAGATATACAAAATGGTTTGACTTTCAATACATTTTTATTGAAATTTGACAGTATACATAGCATAACATAAAGAAACAGATCTAAGCGATGAGCTTTGAACCAATGGGGTTGTAGCTGCTGATGGTACAAAACTATTTTGAGGCATGACTAAAAGTTCAGATATATAAAATGCTCTCGGTTGTATATTTACAGACCAAAAGGAAGCAAATAAAATATATGTGAAAATGGACTGCATCTGAGCACCACAAACCAAATATGCTATTCAATTCATTGTTAATATTCAATCAAACTCCCACATCCATCCATGCTTCATTTTACTGAGAAATCCTTTTGAAAAACACCCCGTGGCATTTTTGGCAATGGCAATCTTGAGTAAAGGCAGATAATTCATTTAGCATTTACTTCCTGGAATCCATCTGCCCTTAGCTCAGGCATTGGCTGAGCTGAGAACCCTCCTTCCCCCTCCTGAAGACTCCTGGAATGTGTGATATCATTTGCCTAGGCATGGAAGCTAGGAAGTAACTGAAGAAATGTAAAAAAAAAAAAAACTGGCATCATAAGGATTAAAAATAGCCCATGTTGATTGAGAGACTGAAGTTCCACCTTAACCTCCTTAGCGGTTTTCCTGAGTGTAGCTCGGGGTAAAATTTCAGTACCAAGAGCGGTAACCCCGAGCTACACTCGGGCTTACCATGCGGCGTTGCTCAGGGGTTTCCCTGCAAGCACTTACCTTGTCCTTCGCTCCCGCAATGTGTCCCCGGCCATCTCCTCCAGCCGATGCCGGCATCCGGCTTCCGTGTTCCGGTCCCTGTGGCGTCGGGACGTACGGGCGCTGAAATTTGAAATTTTAAAAAATGTCATTTTTGCTGTCATTGCTATTTCAATGCATTTCACATATATTTTGTCCCCACTGCTTTTTCCTGTGCCCTGCCTGCATTTTGACTGTTCTTTCTGCCTGGAAACTTAGAAAAGTCCATGGCGTCCAAAAAGCGTCCTTTTATGTCAAAAGCGATTTTAGAGCAGCGATAGTAAATCAGAACCACTTGCAGAATTGAGTGATAATGATTTGTGGGAAAATTCGTCATCAGACACTGAAAACGATTTTGCGACTTTGCTCAGCGATGTGCGAATTTGCCTCTGTATTTCAAATTTCAGTGTTTTTGGTTTGATTATATTATTGAATTAAATTTATTATTATTATTATTTTTTATGATTATTTATTAAATTATAATTTATGATTTCATGTTTCAAGTTTTATTCTACCCGGGGTGTTTAATAGACTCTTGTTCGGACAGATTTCAGTGAGTTATTCCTAAAAATTACAGGCCTACAATAAAAAACTACATATTTCCATGCAAAAAAATGTACTGCTTTCAGCACAAAAAATCGGAAAGAATCATACCGCTGAGGAGGTTAACCTCCCTAATGGTATTCCTGAGTGTAGCTCGGGGTAAAATGTCAGTACCAAAAGCAGTAACCCCGAGCTACACTTGGGCTTACCATGCAGCGTTGCATAGGGAGTCCCTGCAGCACTTACCTTGTCCTTCGCTCTCGCGATGTGTCCCCTGCAGCGTCCCCGGCCATCTCCTCCGGCTGATGCCGGCATCCGGCTCCTGTGTTCCAGTCCCTGTGACGTCGGGACGTACGGGCGCCACCGGCGGTGGGAAATGTGAAAATGTAAAAAAAAAAAAATTAAATTTTTTTCAAAACGATTTTACATAGTAAAACATTGCTGTTTCAACCCATTTCACATACATTTTGTCCCTAGTGCTCTGTCCTGTCCCCTGTCTGCATTTTGACTGTTGTTTCTGCCTGGAAACTTAGAAAAGTCCATGGCGTCCAAAAAGCGTCCCTTTAGGTCAAAAGCGGTTTTAGATCAGCTAGAGAACAGCGATAGTAAATCAGAACCACTTGCAGAATTGAGTGATAATGATTTGTGGGGGAAATTCGTCATCAGACACTGAAAACTATTTTGCGACTTTGCTCAGCGATGTGCAAACTTGCCTCTGTATTTCAAATTTCAGTGTTTTTGGTTTGATTATATTATTGAATTAAATTTATTATTATTATATTATTATTTTTTATGAATATTTATTAAATTATAATTTATGATTTCGTGTTTCAAGTTTTATCATATCCGGAATGTTTACTAGACTCTTGTTCGGACAGATTTCAGTGAATTATTCCTAAAAATTACAGCCTACCATAAAAAACTACATATTTCAATGCAAAAAAATGTACTGCTTTCAGCACAAAAAATCGGAAAGAATCATACCGCCGAGGATGTTAAGGGGTAGAAAACCTTCAGCTGGTTTCTAGGTGCATCATTTCCAACATAAGCCTGGCAAGGCAAATGGACATTTTCTAACTAGAGGCTCCTTTTGATGTGGTTATCATAGCCTTCCCTATTGTGAATCTAGCACCAATGAGTCTGTGTATGCACTATTGTGATATGTATTAGGTTTCTAGATTGTCTGCCAAAGCTGTCTGACTTGAGATTGATTTCAAACCCTCCTGTGTTTGAGGTTACCTGGAGCTGTTATTGAACATTCAGGTATTCTTAGTGATACATGAGATGCTTACAATCTAATTAGGTGTTTAGCAGTCTGTTTTTTCCAGTGTCATGGCTGCCTTTTTGTATTCTCTGCACTGTTCCCCATTACTATAGGCATGTCCCTAATGCCTGCACTGCCTTCAGTGAATTTATCATCTTTCTTTAAAATGTGTTTATAACATTGTAAAACATAGGTACGGTTACCACTGGCAGAGAGATTATTACTGAAACTCTGGTGATCTTTTAATATGGTTTTCAGCTTGGGACATCAGGAATGATGTAAGGCAGGAATATTACTGATTCATGGAGCTTTATACCAGGTTTTGCTGTCCAGCACTGCTTCAGTATGATCATTAACCAATTTTTTTGATTCTCTATGATGTACTTTTGAATTAAAATTTTTATCTTCTGATGAGAGATTGCTTATATATATGGACTCTTAAAAGTTGACCATTGTAAGCACCCCTACCAGTGTTAAATGGTTTGACTCATCCCTGCAAACCAGTGTTTCTCAACCGGGGTTCCGCGGAAACTCAGGAGAGGTCCCCAGGGGTTCGGCGGCGATCTACCTGTCAGTCACAGGCAGTTTACAGGTGGATTGCGAGGAAACATGCAGAGATAGGCAGGGAAGTGGCTGCCATACAGTTAGCTGTAGTGTGCTGTTCCTCGCCTGCTCCTCCTCCCCTCCTCTCCATCCCTGTTCCATGTTATGTGCTCTGTCCCATGTAATACGCTCTGTCCCATGTAATGTGCCCTGTCCCATGTAATGTGCTCTGAGCTCTGTCCCATGTAACATGCCCTGCCCCATGTAACGTACCCTGTCCCATGTAATGTGCTCTGTCTCATGTAATGTGCCATGTCCCATGTAATCATGTAATGTGCTCTGAGCTCTGTCCCATGTAACATGCCCTGCCCCATGTAACGTACCCTGTCCCATGTAATGTGCTCTGTCTCATGTAATGTGCCATGTCCCATGTAATCATGTAATGCGCTCTGTGCTCTCTCCCATGTAACATGCCCTGCCCCATGTAACGTACCCTGTCCCATGTAATGTGCTCTGTCTCATGTAATGTGCCATGTCCCATGTAATCATGTAATGTGCTCTGAGCTCTGTTCCATGTAACATGCCCTGCCCCATGTAACGTACCCTGTCCCATGTAATGTGCTCTGTCTCATGTAATGTGCCATGTCCCATGTAATCATGTAATGCGCTCTGTGCTCTCTCCCATGTAACATGCCCTGCCCCATGTAACGTACCCTGTCCCATGTAATGTGCTCTGTCTCATGTAATGTGCCATGTCCCATGTAATCATGTAATGTGCTCTGAGCTCTGTTCCATGTAACATGCCCTGCCCCATGTAACGTACCCTGTCCCATGTAATGTGCTCTGTCTCATGTAATGTGCCATGTCCCATGTAATCATGTAATGCGCTCTGTGCTCTGTCCCATGTAACATGCCCTGCCCCATGTAACGTACCCTGTCCCATGTAATGTGCTCTGTCTCATGTAATGTGCCATGTCCCATGTAATCATGTAATGCGCTCTGTGCTCTGTCCCATGTAATCATGTAATGTGCCCTGTGCTCTGTCCCAAGTAATGTGCCCTGCTCTTGCGTAATGTGCCCTGCTTCCATGTAATGTGCCCTGCTTCCATGTAATGTGCCCTGCTTCCATGTAATGTGCCCTGCTTCCATGTAATGTTCCCTGCTTCCCCCTCATGTAGTGTTCCCTTTCTGAGCCCCTGTACCCTATCCTGCTGCCCCCCCCCCCCCCCACACACACTGTTTATCTCAAGTTGGACCCAGAATAGAGCATCTCTGCAGAAAAAAAAGCACGTTTCACATTTAAATAGGTACATTTTAATATGCATTCTTTTATTTAATGCTATTTCTAAAAATAATTGTTATTATCAACAGCTCACTGATCATTCCAATGTTCTGTGAGCTGTAGACCTGAACATTTTTCAGAGGTTCCCCAAGATCTCAAACTTTTTGCCAAGAGTTCCTCGAAGGTGAAAAGGTTGGGAACCACTGCAGTAAACTGATACATCTGGAAGAGAGCTTGTTCTTTTGAAAAACAACAGACTTACTGGCTAGATCACCAGATGAAAATAGACGAAAAGCCTAAAAAGAAAACAAATGCAGCCATCACATCTATGAATTTGTAAGCTGCAATATAATACATGTTTGCTTTTCAGTTTAATATTGCTTTAGCTAAAAATGTTTCCAGTGCCAAAAAAATATTTTTGATCATCTTGAAATTTGTTTGGAATTTAGTTTACAATGTCTAAACTTTAGCTTCTATACTGCATCAGGATACACATCAGTAAAGAATTTAGATGTATTTGAGATTACACACTCTCATAGTGGATGGGATTGATTGGAGATTGCATACTCTCATACTGGATGGGGTTAGAGATTGCACACTCTCATAGTGGATGGGTGTTAGAGATTGCACACTCTCATAGTGGATGGGTGTTAGAGATTGCACACTCTCATAGTGGATGGGTGTTATAGAGATTGGATGGGTGTTAGAGATTGCACACTCTCATAGTGGATGGGTGTTAGAGATTGCACACTCTCATAGTGGATGGGTGTTAGAGATTGCACACTCTCATACTGGATGGGTGTTAGAGATTGCACACTCTCATAGTGGATGGGTGTTAGAGATTGCACACTCTCATAGTGGATGGGTGTTAGAGATTGCACACTCTCATAGTGGATGGTGTTAGAGATGCACACTCTCATAGTGGATGGGTGTTAGAGATTGCACACTCTCATACTGGATGGGTGTTAGAGATTGCACACTCTCATACTGGATGGGGTTAGAGATTGCACACTCTCATACTGGATGGGTGTTAGAGATTGCTGGATGGGTGTTAGAGATTGCACACTCTCATACTGGATGGGTGTTAGAGATTGCACACTCTCATACTGGATGGGGATTAGAGATTGCACACTCTCATACTGGATGGGTGTTAGAGATTGCACACTCTCATACTGGATGGGGTTAGAGATTGCACACTCTCATACTGGATGGGTGTTAGAGATTGCACTCTCATACTGGATGGGGATTAGAGATTCACTCTCATACTGGATGGGTGTTAGAGATTGCACACTCTCATACTGGATGGGTGTTAGAGATTGCACACTCTCATACTGGATGGGTGTTAGAGATTGCACACTCTCATACTGGATGGGTGTTAGAGATTGCACACTCTCATACTGGATGGGTGTTAGAGATTGCACACTCTCATACTGGATGGGTGTTAGAGATTGCACACACTGGATGGGTGTTAGAGATTCTCATACATACTGGATGGGTGTTAGAGATGGGTGTTAGAGATTGCACACTCTCATACTGGATGGGATTGCACACTCTCACACTGGATTAGAGATTGCACACTCTCATACTGGATGGGTGTTAGAGATTGCACACTCTCATACTGGATGGGTGTTAGAGATTGCATACTCTCATACTGGATGGGGATTAGAGATTGCACACTCTCATACTGGATGGGTGTTAGAGATTGCACACTCTCATACTGGATGGGTGTTAGAGATTACACACTCTCATACTGGATGGGATTAGAGATTGCACACTCTCATACTGGATGGGTGTTAGAGATTACACACTCTCATACTGGATGGGTGTTGAGATTACACACTCTCATAGTGGATTGGGATTAGAGATTGCATATTCATACTGGATGGGTGTTAGAGATTGCACACTCTCATACTGGATGGGTGTTAGAGATTGGTCTTTTCATATTGGTTGGACATTAGAGATTGCACACTCTCATACTGGATGGTCATTAGAGATTGCACACTCTCATATTGCATGGGCATTAGAGACTGCATACTCACATACTGGATGGGCATTAGAGATTGCGTCTTTTCATATTGGATGGACATTAGAGATTGCACACTCTCATTTTGGATGGTCAGTAGAGATTGCACACTCTCATTTTGGATGGTCAGTAGAGATTGCACACTGTCATATTGGATGGTCATTAGAGATTGCATGCTCTCATTTTGGATGGGCAGTGGAGACTGCACACTCTTATATTGGATGGACATTAGAGATTGCATGCTCTCATATTAGATGGGCATTGAAAATTGCACACTCTTATATTGGATGGGCATTAGAGATTGTATACTCTCATATTGGATGGGGAAGTACATGTAGTTTATATGCCAAGTCCCCTTCTGTCCATCTGTCTGCAGTGCCCTGGGTGACTGACACTGTGACCTCCTGC